TAATCTGAAGAACAGAAAGAAAAAAGATTAGAGAAAAGTGAACAGAACTTCAGAGATCTGTGGGTCATTGTCAGGTGTTCCAAAGCATACTTGTAATAATAGGAGTCCCAGATGAAGAGAAGGGACAGGGAAAAAAAATACTCAAAGAAATAATGGCCAAAAACTTCCCTAGATTCAATGAAAACAAAACAGAACATTTACTTATAGACCCAGGAATCTCAATGAATTCCAAGTGGGATAAACACAGGGAACCACATCTAGACACATTATTGTCAACTTGCTGAAGCCCAAAGCAAAGAGAATCTTGAAAGCAAGACAAAAATGACTCGTTATGTACAAAAGAACAATACTGTTTGCAGAGAAAACATTGGAGACCAGAGGGCAGCACAGTGATACACTCAGTTTTGAAAGAAAAAAACACCAGCCAAGAATTCTGTATCTAGGAAAACCATCATAAAAAAAAAAAAAAAAGATGAAATAACAACACTGTCATAAAGACAGAATTCATTGCAAGAGACCTACCTAATAGGCAGTATTAAAGGAAAGAGGTGATAGATAACTTGGATCCCCAGGAAGGAATGAAGAGCATTGGAAATACTCCAGTAAATGAAAAGAGATATTCTTTTTTTTTTAAATAAAGTTTATTCATTTATTATTTCTGAGAAAGAGAGTACAAGTAGGAGAGGGACAGAGAGAGAGAGAAACACACAGAATCCAAAGCAGGCTCCAGGCTCTGAGTTGTCAGCACAGGGCCCGACATGGGGCTCAAACTCATGAACTGTGAGATCATGACCTGAGCTGAGGTCAAATGCTTAAATGACTGAGCCACCCAGTCTCCCCCTAAAGGGATATTCTTTTAATAATAATTTTTAAAACCCTATAAGATTGTTTAAGCCATAATTGTAACACTGCATTGTTGGGTTTATAACATATATGTAACATGTAATGTATATGACAATATTGCACAGAGGAAGGGGGAGGAAGTGGAGCTATACTGTGTAAAATTGCTAGATTTTACCAGAATTAATCTGAATAGAATATAAATTAGAAATGAAGATTGCAGTATCCAAGCATCTCTGGGAAGATAAAAGTGAAAAAAGAAACTGTTTATTCATCACCTCCTTTTTCTCAAGTATTTTGTATATGCTAGGTATTTAAATATGCCCAAGAAATTTTTTTATTGTTTATCATTAGTGTTTTTGGTGATCCAGTATTTTATGAATATATTCTTTATACTATTCAGAGGCTCTGAATATATTTCTTTCTAAAGTAAGAAAGAAATTCTACATGTCAGAGATGTAAAATGGTAGCATTCAAAGTTGACGGTATGTTTTTATGATTTTCCTCTGTAAGATAAACAATAGGTATATCAGGTACTAGTTAATTATTTGTCATTATTTTCAGTATTTATTGGAGCAAGAATGAAAAATGTATGTTAAAATAGATAAAAATGAGTGATTATCCTACCTTTTTCTGTTGGAAAATGTGATGCTAAGGCACATTTATATTTAAATTTAGTATTTAGTATATGCATATGTAATCTGTTCGATAAAACAGTTCTATTATTAAAACTTGTCATAGTAGGATTTTTATTTGTGTTTATACATTTGAGCTCCTAATACATTTAAATTACTAGACTAGAAATTGTAGGATATATAAAGATTTATTAATGATTCTTATAATTTTATTCCCCCTTCACCTTTCCCATTCTGTCCTTCACATCCCTCCTATGTCTATACACACAAAACAAGGGGGCTAAGCATCTCATACTTACTAATACGGGAAATACAGGATATGTCCATCTGGGTATTTTATGAGTATGTCTGTTATATGTATATGCATTTTTGTGCTTTCAGTTTGGGAATTTTTTTCATAAATTGGATTTTGCCATACATAATGCTGATCTACATTCTTAGCATTTCATGATCACCTTTGTGTCAGTAAATACATACCTAATTTTTTTTAAGCTTATTTATCTTGAGAGTGAGAGAGTGTGAGAGGCTGAGAGTGGGGGAGGGGCAGAGAGAGAGGGAGAGAGAATCCCAAGCAGGCTACGTGCTGTCATTTCAGAGCCTGACACGGGGCTCCATTTCACTAACCATGAAATCATGACCTGAGCCGAAATCAAGAGTCAGATGCTCAGAAGCAACTGAGCCACCCAGGCATCTCCCACCCTTTTTCTTAATTTTTATTTTTTTTTAATGTTTATTTATTTTTGAGAGAGAGAGAGAGACTGAGAGTGCCAACAGTGGAGGGACAGAGAGAGAGGGAAACACAGAATCTGAAGCAGGCCCAGGCTCTGAGCTGTCAGCACAGATTGAAATTCTGTAACCATTAAATAACAATTCCCTAATCCCTCATCCACTGGGCCCTGGGCCCTGGTAACCACCATCCTACGTTCTATGTAAGTTGGACTGCTCTTTGTACCTCATATAAGTGTGGTCTTACTGTATTCATCCTTTTGTAACTGGCTTATTTCAGTTAGCATCAAGTCTTCAGGGTTCATCTGTGTTGTAGCATATATCAGAATTTGTTTTCCTTTTAATGCTGAGTAATATTTCAGTGTGTGCATATATCACATTTTGTGTATCTGTACATCTACTGACAGGCCTTTAGGTTATTTCTACCTTTTGGCTAATGCATAAGCTGCTGTGAATAGGCACATTTAAGTATCTCTTTGGGTCTGTGCTTTTAATTTTTCTAGGTGTATACCCATATGAGGAATTGCTGGTCACTCTATGTTTAAATTTTTGATGAATCACTGTACTGTTTTCCATAGTGGGTGTACAATTTCACATTCTCATCCATCATGCTTAGTGCTTCTCAATTCCCCATATCCTTGCTAATAATACTTGTTATCTGTTTGGGGTTTTTTTGCTTGTTGTAAGAGCCATCCTAGTGGGTGTGAAGCCGTATCTCATTGTGGTTTTGATTTACATTCCCCTAATAATTAGTCATGTTGCCCACAGCTTTTCATGTGCTTATATTCCATTTGTATATCTTTTTTGGAGAAATGTTTGTTCAAGTTCTTAGTTCACTTTTTAATCTGGTTGCTTGTTTTTTGTTGTTGGTTTTGCTCACTTTTTAAAACCCCCATTTAAATGTTTGCTTACTTGAAGACATCATCTCAGGCTTCAAGTAGGTCTAGTATGGAAAGTAAATCAGTGGTATATATTCATCTTTCAAAAATAATGCTAGTAAATTTTAAAACATATTAGAATTCGGAGTAGAGAACATATTTAATGGAATGACAGGATGGTATTTGAGGTAAATCTTCAAAAAAGTATCAGTCAGATATTGATAAAATGAGGGGAAACATTCCAGTTAGAGTAAACAAAGGCATAGAGGACACAAGTGAGTTTATTGCAGATATACAGGAAGCAGTTCAGTTTGGCTTCTTTATTGTTATTGGGAGTGTACAATGGAACAGTTTGTATGTGGAGAGGGAGAAGATAGTTAGGCAGCAGCTATCAGTGTTAAAGATACAGATGTTCTTTTACCCAGCAACTTACGGGAGGTTAGCCCACAGTTACAATTGTAGACATAGACAGTGAGTGGTAGTATTGTTGCAACCACATAAAACTGGAGACAGAGTACTGATCAGTAGGGGATTAGCATTTGAAAAGGAGGTACAGAAACTGTATTTAGTATAATCTCATTTGAGGGTAGGGTGAGTACATGGACATAATATTTCTGAAAGAGTAAGTAAGAACTGTTGACTGGTTGCACAGTATGGGTGATGGCATGTGGGGAAATGCTCACCTGTTTTGTTTTCTTTCTTACAAGGATATTAAAAAAAGAAAAAAGTATATTTTTAAAGACCTTTAGAGCTTAGACATCACAGCTCTGGGTTCTTTCCAGTATTGAATGCTGCTTCTGCATATCTACTTTTGATTTCAGGAGTAGGAGGGTGGAGGGAAGGTGAAAAGATGAAATGAATTTTTGTCATCCAAACAAGAAACAGATTATGGGTTGGACTATTTTTATTTTGTAATCTTTATCACTGGGGGACTTCTTGAGAATGTTCATAAAAATAAGCATTCACAACTCTACATATCCAGAGTTAAAATAAATTAGGCAAATGAATAATCCCTTTCATAAATTACTTTATTTAAAAAAAAGTCATTAAACGGGTGCCTGGGTGGCTCAGTTGGTTAAGCGTCTGACTTGGGCTCAGGTAATGATTGCATAGTTTGTGGGTTCTAGCCTATGTGGGTTCTAGCTTGTGGTTCTCGCTCTCCCTCTCTCTGTCTGCCTCTCTCCTGCTCGCTCTTTCTTTCAAATAAATAAACTTAAAAAAATTAACATAAAAAAGCCATTAAATAAAAATACATTGAGGAGTGAATAGGACAGAAGTTTTCAGTGGGCAAAATCACTAACTTGACCTTATATATTTATAAAGTTTGACCACAAATTTGTATAAAGGACTTGACAACTAAGTGAGAAGTTTTCATTTTTCATAGCAAGATATTGTAGCAAGAGTAAGTGATTCTCTGATATTTCGTGATGCTTATCTAATATGTGTTACTGAGTAAAAGAATACAAGAAATAGTTAATTAGGATCCTTGAATAAACCATGCCCTCACACTTAGCACAACTACATGATGGCTGATTCTCTACCATTTAGGGAATTTATCAAACTTTATCTTTCCACACCAGTGGACTTAATGTTATCAGCTAATTAAAACAAGCTTTAAGTCTTGGAAAATTTTAAGGCAAAACTGTTAATGTTCTTTTTGTGTGTGTGTGTGATTTCTGCAAACTGCTTTTAATTTGTCAAGAATAAAGAGGAAATAGGTGAATAATGGAAGTGTTTTGCTAAATGAAGGAAATTCATGTTATTGTCAGTTGCCATTAAAAAGAGAGAGAAACACCTGTAGTTCAGATGTGACTTGCTAAACTTCCTTCAGGGAAATTTTTTCAAGTTTTTAAATAACAAATTTTTGTACTCTGAAGTTTTCCTTGTTTAATAGCAGTGATTCTTTTTTTTTTTTTTTAAGGTATGGATTGCGGGAGTTTGTGGTGATTGCCCCTGCTGCAAACCATGATGCAGTTCTCAGTGAATCTAAGTGCAATCTTCTTCTGAGTTCTGTGTCTATTGCTTTGGGAAACACTGGCTGGTAGGTGGACATTTTGAAATATGTAGACAATGAGTTAAAAACTATTTTTAATTATAATTTATGACGGAAAAAGTTTACTAAGTATTAGATTTTTAAAAAAAATGATCATTAGGGTTCCTACTTGTTCGTTATCGTGTTGGAATATCTTATGGAAGAACAAACTCAAAACCTTTAGTGAGTGCATTTCTAAAGGGAAATTTACTGAAATATTCAATGAATATTTGAAATGAAAAGTAAATTGTACTATTTTTGTGTTTTACTTCCAAATGTTTAGTTTATTTAAACTTTTTTGTTACAAAATCTAATTTTAAAACTTGAAAACAGAGCATTGCCTCATTTAGCCTCAGCTGAGAATGTCCATGTCAAGTGACTCAAATTTTTTGCTGCTCTGTGCATGTCTACAAATGACTGAAAGTGCCAAGAGTATTGATTTTGAGGTACAAATAAATTTTAGGGAATAGGCTTATTTGCAAAGATGCAAATCTGAATAATGAGTACTGGCTCTATTTTCAAATGATAAAGTAAAAAATATTTCAGCTACTAATGTTGGTTTAATTTATATTTTCATACCTGTGAATCATATTTTATTTTGCCTTTGAAAGGCTAATATGATAGTGATACCAACAGGCCTGACCCCACGGAGGGTCCCTCAGGACCAACCAAGAGGATCCTTGGCTGTGTGCAGGATAGAAATCAAACATGGCTACCAGGAGATGAAAACAGAGATTATCAAAGGCATAGAGAGAGTGAAAGTACAGACAGAATGTCTGGGAGACTCAAGATAGGAGGGAGTTTGTCTTTGCTTGGGGTCTGGGTATTTTTATCGAGGATTGTGATCTGGTATACATGTCCTCTCTGGCATCCAGGAACTGGTTAGAACAAAGAGGAGGGCCCAGGTGTTAGTCCTTGGAGCCAGGGGTCGTTGGCATGGAGATGTCTAGTGGTGGTGGTGTGGAATATGCATATGATAGCTTTGTCTGGTCATTTTCACCTAGTCCTTCCTTAGATGTTATCTGTTCTAACGAAATCGTTAACTCCTTGTCTCTTAACAAGGAGGACAAACTGTTTACATTCTGAAGCACATGTAAAGTGGAGGCGCAGGTCCTAGCAAGAATGGAAACAGGAAAAGGAGCAAAAAGCAGATTTTTATGGAGTCCTTCAATATCCATATCTCAATTGATTGCTTTTATTCAAGAAAATTTTCATTCTGCCTGTTTTTGACTTTCAGCTATTTTAAAACAATTTTCTGACTCAAAAGTGCCACTAGATGATAGTTTCTTTAGCTTATTAGTTTAAGGAGAAAGGGAACTAATAGTTTTTAGTATGAGGAGAAAAGGAACTAATAGTGTCTCTGTTAATGTAAGTATGATGAGTGATTCTTGCTTAGTGTTTTTAAATATTTGAGATTAAAATAATATAATGGGGAAATTTTTAGATTTAGGATTACTCAGTGTTTAATGAACTTAAAGTCTATTCCTATTGAATTTTGTCTTACAGCCAGGTGCCACTCTTTGTGCAAATTCATCACAAATGGCGAAGAATGTATGTGGGCGAATGTCAGGGTCATGGTGTCCGAACTGATTTTGAAATGGTTCATCTTCGGAAAGTGCCAAATCAGTACACTCATTTATCAGGCCTGCTGGATATCTTCAAATCAAAGATTGTGAGTTTGCATTGATATTATCATTCTTATCTGGGATCCAGATAAATGTAGCAGTTTGGTAATTTTATTGAGTATGTAGAAATATTTTTCTATAATACTAACAATGTAATTACTTGGAAGAAAGATATAATGATTACATAAATTATTATGTATGTTTAAAGAAATAGTATCCAATTAGATTTTTAGTGTACTAATGCTAAAGAACAGTTAATCAAAGTAATTTTGTTGTCGTTAATATTTATTTACTGTGTTATCGCTTTCTGCTCCTTCTCCTTTAATAGTAATACAGTTGTTGACCCTTGAACATTGCGGGAGTTGGGGCCTAACACCCCACCTCCCACGTGCACAAAGATCCACTTACAACTTTTGACTCTCCCAAAGTTAATTACTAACAACCTGCTGTTGACTAGAAGCTTCTAACATACACACTTGATTAACACATATTTTATGTATGATATGTATTGTATATCATATTCTTATAATAAAGTAAGCTGGAGAAAAAAATGTTATTAATTATTAAGAAAATTGTAAGGAAGAGAAAATACATTTATATTACTAAACTGTAAAAACCTCATCTTTAAGTGGACCTACACAGTTCAAACCTATGTTCATGGGTCAGCTGTTGCCAACCTCCTCAGATGAGTGTGTTTGGAACTTTGAGCTCCTTGAGGTCTCAACACTTTGGATTCTAAATTGCCTTCTCCCTCCCCCCCCGAATGTTCATTTTATTTGATTTTTAAAATTAATCTGGCTTATGTTTTATGACAGAGAAATAAGGCTAAATGGGATGTACTTAGTACATCCTTGGTGTTGTATAAAAACACTATCACAGAGATATGGAAGACTTGCTTGTGTTACTCTGGGGAAAGAAAATTGGGGCTTAAGTTGAGGAGCTGTTAAAGAGCAAAACCAGATGAGGAAATGGTGGATCGGGTCATCTACTTAGAGAAATATTCCCTTTAAGTGCTTAAGTTACATCCATCTCACTGAAGTGATCATACTTTACTAACAAATTGATATCAGGCATCTCTTGGTATGATACCTTGAATAGGATATATTATCACCTCTGTTGCATTCCTGCCTAAAATGTTTAACATAAGTCACAACATCTGGGAGCAATCTCATGTTTCCAAAATTAGCCATATTTTGCAAAATTACTGGCCTAGACTCTTAAAAAAAGTCAGTATCATGACTGCCAAAACAAAGATTGGGAGCTGTTTAAAAAAAATTTTTTTTTAATATTTATTTTTGACAGCAAGAGAGAGTGCAAGCAGGGGAGGGGGTAGAGAGATGGAGACACAGAATCTGAAGCAGGCTCTATGCTCTGAGCTGTCAGCTTGGAGCCCAACACGGGGCTCGAACCCACGAACTGCAAGATTATGACCGTAGCCAGTCAGATGCTTAACGAACTGGGCCACCCAGGCACCACGTGGCAGCTGTTTAAATGAAGGGAGACTAAAATGACCTAAGAGCTAAATGCAATGCATAATCCTTGACTGGATCCTTGTCCAAAACAAAATAGCCAAAAAGAATATGATTGGGACAGTTTTAATATGGACTATATGTTAGAAAATACATAGTCCATATTAAAATTGCCAGTTTTCTTAATCAGCTCATCACATCATCTGACAACTTCCACAAAACTCACTCGTCTATATATGAAACGTCTCTCAAAATTAATTTTTTTAAAAGTAGGCTCCATGCACAATGTGGGGCTTCAACTCATGAACCTGAGATCATGAGTTGCATTCTCTACCAACTCAACCAGCCAGGGGCCCGTCAAAATTGATTTGATAGGAGTAGAACTTAAAATAGTTGAGAACTGTTTTGGGTAGTTTAGATGTTTTACATAGTTAAAGCTACCCAATATGTGATTCTTCTGTAATAACTCTAAAGCTGTTTTTATAAAAATTACTCTTTAACATCTGCTTGGAATGCTTCAGGGCACTCACCCTACCCTGAAAATTTATTTCATTTTAACATAGATCTGATTTATTAGAAAAGACTTCCTTCAGGTAAGCAGAGCCGGAGGGGCAGTTTTGCCTTTTGGAGTACCTAAAATTTAAATTTGAATTCTGCCATAATCCTCTAAATATTTGAAAACTTACACTATGGTCTTTTTTCATTTAGACATTCTTCCTTCTTTCAGATGTTCTCTTTTTTTTAAATTAATTTTTAATTTTTATTTTTGAGAGAGAGGGAAAGAGAGACAGAGTGTCATTGGGGGAGGGCAGAGAAAGAGGGAGACACAGGATCCGAAGTAAGCTCCAGTCTCTGAGCTGTCAGCATAGAGCCCGATGCAGGGCTCAAACTCACACATCGCAAGATCATGACCTGGGCCAAATTCGGATGCTTAGCCAACTGAGCCACCCAGGCATCCTCTGATGTTCTTTATATTTCATGGTTTTATACTCTTGATGGTTCATTTGGATATTTGTCTCTTTTAGAACTACATTTCTTCATTTAAAAAAAAAATTTTTTTAACGCGTATTTATTTTTGAGAGCATGAGAGAGAGACAGAGAATGAACAGGGGAGGGGCAGAGAGAGAGGGGGACACAGAATCCAAAGCAGGCACCAGGCTCTGGGCTGTCAGCTCAGAGCCTGACGCAGGACTCAAACTTGTGGACCACGAGATCATGACCTGAGCCGAAGTCGGACACTCAACATACTGAGCCACCCAGGCACCCCCATTTCTTCATGTTTTATGGAAATTTTCTTTGCAGGTGCATTTAGAATGAATGTTATATCTAAAATTTTTAACTTTTTCTCCCATCCTTTCTTGTGGTTCTATAATTTTGTGGTTGCTCCCTACATGTAGAAAATTTCAGAATTGGGTCTTAAAATGGTGTTTGGAGCCTCTTGCTCTGAGGTGTTATTAGGGGTATTGCATACCTGGTCCTGGAATCACTGGATTGCTTGCTCAGGTTATGAGAGCGGTCACTGACCACCTCCCCCCCCCAACCCCCCATAGTAACTCTCCCCAGCCCGTAACTTTCAGCAAAACTACCGTACCAAGCAGGTATGCTCTGCCCCAGTGTCTGCCTTAAGCACAGTCTTGCAGTGCACTCACTCTGGACTGAGTTGAACTTGTGGTTCCACTTAACGCAGTCTGTAATCCTAGGCTGTCACTGCCTACTTCCACACCTGGAACTCAGCAGGCATATGCCTTGAAACTTTGGATTTTCTGCAGCTTTCTAGGACCCACAAAGATATTTATGTCATATTTGATCCTAGCTATTTCTTTCTGGTTATCGCTTTCTATATTTATCTATGTTGCTATGTAACTGGAGCAGAGGTTATGTGTCAAGGCAACTTTGTTATGGTTTCTAGACCATTTGTACCTTATTACGGGTGAACACTCAGTTAATATCTGGACTTGACTAAAAAGTTTATTATTCCTAAACAACCAGAATCTTACCTTGCTTGGCAAGGACACAGCAGCCCAAAACTAAATTATCTTTTTTGGGCAGCCACTTTACATTGTGACTGTAGATTGAGTTTGTATTCCGTTAAAGCTACTAGTGACATTTATAGATGTTGCTGAGCTAAATGTCTCTTATTCTTCCTGATCAGCAGTATCAGGAACACCTGGTACCTGGTTAAATATGCAGAATAGCCTTGAATCTATATTTTCACATGTTCCCTAGGTGATTCCTATGTATATTTCAGTCCTATTCCACATTAATGTAGGTTAACCATTATTAAGGGAAGCAGAGCTTATAGGATGTTTGGATGATATTAATTTTCATGATTAAAAAAATTTTTTTTAATGTTTATTTGTTTTTGAGAGAGACAGTATGAGCCGGGGAATAGAGAGAGATGGGACATAAAGTTCAAAGCAGGTTCGAGGCTCTAAGCTGTCAGCACAGAGCCCGGTGCAAGGCTCAAACCCATGAGCTGTGAGATCATGACGTGAGCCAAAGTCAGATGCTTAACCAACTGAGCCACCCAGGCGCCCCTAATTTTCATGATTTTTAGTGAATGTAAAGATGAATCTAAATTTTCTATTAACTGATTAATACAATCTATTTTGCATGAGTGACCATTTGTCTTAGTCTAAAATTATGGTTAAATATTCCAAGACTGGCTTTAATTTGGGTTTATTTTCATTTAAAAGAAAGAGAAGGCATCATCTCCTCAATCCTGGTCTTATACTTGTAATAGTTTCACCTTAATTTAAAAAAAATGGGTAACATTTTTCTCACATTCATTATTGCTGAACAGAATAAGAAATTATATTTGTATAATTAAAATTGTTACTGTTTTGAAGGAGCATTTATTTTGTTTCCAGGTAGTTATTTATTTATTTAAATTCATATACTTTTGAGAGAGATCTGCACACAAGCAGGAAAGGGGCAGAGAGAGAAGGGGAGAGAGAATCCCAAGCAGGCCCAGCTAGGGTTAGATCTCAGGAACTGTGAGTTCATGACCTGAGCCTGACCTGAGCTGGACTCTACTGACTGAGCCACCCAAGCACCCTAAACAACTCTCTGGCATTGTTTTTAAAACACTTTGTTTAAAGCTACACAATATTGTCTTTGCATTTATTTTCTAGGGATGTCCTTTAACTCCTTTGCCTCCGGTTAGTATTGCTATTCGCCTTACCTATGTACTTCAGGATTGGCAGCAGTATTTTTGGCCTCAGCAACCTCCAGGTGAGATAATTTAGAGCTATATTTAATTTACTGAATATAAATGGAAAGAAAATATATTCAGAAATTAAACTTATTTAACAGTGTGTTTCAAGTGTTTTAAATTGGAAATATTTGTAATTCATTCTAAATGTAGTATTGCTGATTTAGTTACCTTATAATTTTGTTTCTCTTAAAAAAAGCTTTGAAGTTTGCTCTAGAGACAGCATTACTCTATATGTGACGATCTATCTTTGAAAGCTAATATTATTTATAAAGCATCCCCCCTGCTGTGGAACATCATGTGCTGCAAATTAGTATGTAGTGAATGATTAAACTGTCTGTTTTTAGAATATAATAATGGAAGCCACCCTCATAAGCTGAGAGCCTTATGGAAAATAGAGTTTGAAGAAGAGTACTAAATAAGAAAAGCAGGAAAGAGAAAAAAAATGGGTATATACACATATACTTACAAAGAGCTCTAGAATATTTAACTTGCATTTGATGTAATTAAAATCAGTTTACCTCTTATTCATAAATGGTATATACCAATAGACTGATTCATTTAGTAATCATTAATTATTAGCAGGTTGTGTCTGGGTTGCAGGTATAAACAAGACATTACCTAAGTTCTAGAAAAGTTCACCCTGGTGGACATATAGCCTTAATAATTAAGTGAGGATTTGGCTCCTGGGTGTTTCTCTCATATATAAGTATAATTATATTCAAGTATTTCTCATAAGAAATTTAACACAAACTTAAAAATAATTATAAGTATTTTACCAGCCTGAAAACATTTTCTAGTCTACTCCCCCCTGCTGAGAAAAATAAATTAGAATAAAACAGTATTTCTTTATTGTTTATTTTTGTTCCAAGTAGTTGGTTATTTATAGGATGGAAAGTTGGTATCTTGGGATGTTAGAATTAATGTAGTATATCCTCAGACTTTGGTAGTTATATATGCTGCTAGTACCTTATTTATATACTGCACAATAATTTGAAACTCTGGTGTGACAATGAAAGAACTGCATCTAAACTGCAGCAAAGGGAAATAAAAGCTAAGCTGAGAGTAAATTATAAGAAAGACGCAAATGTTTGTTTTGGTAATTTTCGTTCCCAGACAGCAATACCCTCTAGGCAATTTGTAGCCACTTTCTAGGTGAAAGTTTCAATTCCTGCCTGCCTTTTCCTTTTTTCAAAGTCTGCTCTATTATTAGTCAATTTTAAATATTTCCCAAGATAGTCTAGTCTGTTGATGATCTAAGAGGAAGCCCAAGATCCAGAATGTTAGCATTATAATTTTGGTTGCCAAAAAGGACTTTGTTAATGTTTACTTGCCAGTTTAAAAAAAAAATTTTTTTTTAATGTTTATTTATTTGAGAGAGAGAGACAGAGAGTGAGCAGGGGAAGGGCAGAGAGAGGGAGACACAGAATCCGAAGCAAACTCTAGGCTCTGAGCTGTCAAAACTGAGCCTGACGCAGGGCTCAAACTCATGAGCCTTCAAGCCGTGAGATCATGACCTGAGATGAAGTCAGACACTTAACCCACTGAGCCACCCAGGTGCCTCTCTTGCCAGTCTTTTTTTAATGGGGAGGACCAATATATTTATCTTACTCCTCAGTGAATTGAAGGCCATATAAATTTTTAACATTTTCTCATATAAAGGGAAGGAAAGGATTTGAACATGTAATACGGACCAGACATTGTGCTTGGCATTTTATATGTTATTTCATGTAATTATCGTTTATCTATGAGACAGGTATTATCTTTCTTGGAGAACATATGTAACTTAGAGAACATAGGTAACTGGCCCAAGGTCACAAGTGATAAAGTTTGCTTTCAAACATTGGTCAAACTCCACATCCCATGATCCTTTCATTCCATAGTGTTGCTTCTGAGTTTAATTGAATTAAGACTATTGTACAGTTATGGTACAAAATTTTTAGCTTATTTATAAAATATGCTTATTATACATTGTGAAGCTCTTAAAAATTCACATCTTGTAATAAAGCTAGTCATTGTAATCTTTATTATAAGTATTTGTTAGTTGGAAAAATGGAATGAAACTGACTTGAGAAAATTTACTGAATCAAGTAATTGAGCCATATTTAATGATTAATTTAGTTAGGTGACAGGTAATCGTCAAACATGATTTTAGCAAAACTGGGGAATATTCATAACAATATAATTTAATTTGAGGAATTTCCAGTGTAGTACGAATAATGAAAAGCAGCCATCTGAATTATTTCAAAGAGAAATAAATCCTTTTGATGTCTTTTAGAAGTGTTTATTACCTCTTTAAGAGGGGTGGAGCTAAGGGGAGTGATTTACCCTCTAAATTCTCCTCTCATCTCAGATACTGTTCATAACAGAAAGGAAATTCTTTGCTAAACTTCAAGTATTTCCATGTACTATCAACTGAAATAAAAATTTATTAATGATAACTAATTTGCTCTACAGAAATTGACAGCAAAACTGATGAATGTAGGTTGGTAATTAAATTTTTAAATACTTGGATAATCTTTTATATAGATAATATTAATCACATTTTCAGAAAATGCAAAAAAAATTACAGATTAATGTTCTCTCAAGCAATATTTAAGGAATATTTCAAAAGGGTAAAATGTAGAATGCATGGCTTGAATTAAACACTGTATAAATAGGAATTAAAGGTGTTCTTTTTTTTAAATTTTTTTTTTTTTAACATTTATTTATTTTTGAGACAGAGAGAGACAGAGCATGAGCAGGGGAGGGTCAGAGAGAGAGGGAGACACAAAATCCAAAACGGGCTCCAGGCTCTGAGCTGTCAGCCCAGAGCCTGATGCAGGGCTTGAACTCACAGACCGCGAGATCATGACCTGAGCTGAAGTCGGACGCCCAACCGACTGAGCCACCCAGGCGCCCCAAGGTGTTCTTTTATTGTAACATTCTAGGGGGAAGTCTTTAACTAGGCTGCTCTCTACATATATGCTATTGATATAGGCACATTTAAATCTATGATCTCCCAAAGAGCTAACTTAATTAAATACTTACTTCTTCATTTCTTGCTGAATAATAGAATATTATTTCTTTTGTTTAGATATAGATGCCCTTGTAGGAGGAGAAGTTGGAGGCCTGGAGTTTGGCAAGTTACCATTTGGTGCCTGTGAAGATCCTATAAGGTGGGAGTTTCAATATATCATTTGAATTAAGGAATTTACTGTTTATATTAATACTGATTTTACTGTGCTTTGTAATACCATAGCCTTTTGGAATGAGTATAGTACCGGAAACAGATCTACATCTAACAATCTGCCCATCTGCTTTTTTTCTCTGTAACTGAAGAAATAAAAGAGGCTTGGGGCACCTGAGTGGCTCAATTGGTTAAGCGTCCAATTCTTGATTTCAGCTCAGGTCATGATCTCATAGTTTGTGAGTTCGAGCCCTGTGTCAGGCCCTATGCTGACAGTGCAGAGCCTGCTTGGGATTCTCTCTTTCTCTGCCCCTCCCCTGCTTGCTTGCTCTCTCTCAAAATAAATAAATAAACTTAAAAAAATTTCTTAAAAGAGGCTTTAAAATATTACATAAAATGTGTATAATACCATTTATTGATTATTCCTTATAGAAGTGATTCTTGGCCTACTTTTTGGTAAACATTTTATATATTGAAAAGCACAGAGAAAATCATATATAACAAACTTTCACCTATTCGTCACTGAGAATTAACAAGTGTTTACATTTTCCCTGACCACATTTTCCAGATGTACAAGTTGAGACCTAAGAGCTACAAAGTGACCTCTAGGTTACCCAACTGCTTTTCTAGAAGAGCCACTGAAATTTAAGAAAATTTTATATAAGAAAATGTAAGACTTGGAAATTTTAATCACTGAGAGTAAAATATTTGGAGAATATAAACAGTGCTGATTTAGAAACTGTTTTATTTAGTTAAAGTATATGGTTAGTTAAAAAATCTATATACACACATACATACTTTTTTTTTGTATCCAAAATGTGTTTATTGGGATGGTTTTCCCCTCATGATGATTTAGCGTGGTTTTAGTGCTGCTTCAGTCTGAAGGAACATGCTTATCTAAGCCTTGCTTTTCCTCCTGTAGGCTGGCAAAGGACAGTGGAGCGGCCAACACACAAAACTGTTTGTGCGTGGCTACAGATAGTGGTGATTTTATAGCATTGTGGGTGCTTCTTGTCCATGAAGTAGGAATTGGAGCTTTGCACCAGGCGCTTCTTCTTGTGCTTCCTCTTTTCCTCTTGTAGGGAGGGATTGAGGAGATTCTTTGTGAGGGGCATGTTGTTGCGGGGGAGATTGTCACATCCGTACAGGTGCATACATACATTGTTAGTACTCTTGCATAGAGGTAGAAATGATAATACTTTTAATTTAAAATCACTCAAGAGAGAAGATAAAATAAGTATCTTTTGTAATTGATACTTACATGTGTCAAACACTATGCTGAATTAGGAAGATATAGTAGATAAAACAGTTTTTGGTTTCTTGGCATTTGTAGTCTGATTGGAGGAAATAGACAAAATAATCACATAAATGTACAACTACAAGCAGTGAAGGAAAGGGACAAGATGTAAGAATAGTGAAATGAGCTAGTTCGGATTGGGATGCCATCAGGAAAGTGTTCTCAAAGGAAGCATCTCAGGGAGGATTTAGCTGGCACAGAGAGAGAATGACCATTCCTGGTAGAATGAAGAGCTTGTGTAAAGGGCCTTGATGCAGGAGAGTTCAGTCAGTTTACTGGAGGAAACTCCAGTTTCTTAGGAAACTATGCCATCATGGCATAGTGAGCAAGGGAGAAATGGTATATTTGTGGCCCTCCAACAGGTTCATTCATTTAGATTTTGCTAGAGAAAATTATAGGGAGAGAGAATAAAATTGACTTGATCATGAAAATGTGAAGGAATTATTTATTAAATATTTCTTCTATTTTAAATCATTTTATATTTAATGTTTAAATTTAATATTTAAATTTAATATTTAAATATTTTAAATCACGAGGAACCATCAGAGAAACAGGTGATTGAAGAAGAATACAAAAATAATTCGGGGGTAAGGTGGTATATATGGCAGGCCATTTAAATCACACGGTGATTAGCAAATACTGTGGGCACTATGCTTTTGCAAAGAATGGTGGAAGAGGTGGAAGAGGAAATGAGGCTTTTTTTTTAGTGTCCTCTCCCTGTCAGAGAAACTGTTTTATAGTTAGAAGGAAAGGAGAGGACTTAGTCATAAAAGCTTAGGAACTGAATCTGAGGTGAATACCTAAAATTATTTCAGAGCTTAGAGTTTTAAACTTACCATTCATATCCTCTAATATCATACACTGTCTAGTCATTTTTTTAACCTTAGAATTTTATTATGAAAGTACTAAATTTATGCTCAGTAAGGAAAATTTAGAAAACATGTCAAAACAAAAAAGGCAAAAATCATGTGTTTACCAGTCAAGTTTCTTGGTTGTAAACTGTAGTAGTCAACTCTAACTCAAGCAAAAAATCAACTTACTGAAGAAGTATTCGATAACACAGAGGTTTAATTGGGACCCTTATAGGACCCAGCTCAAAATAGTCTCGAGCCAGGGGTGGCTTGTTGGCCAGTTATTAACTGAGATTATATTACATAGTTGTGGAATTCTGGCCCTGTTATCACATTGAATTCTAAAATATAGGGTACAGACTGGAGTTGCCAGTCGGTTGAGCACCACTAAAGATCAGAGAAATAAAAGTAATTGACTCTTTTGGCTTCTTTATTCTCCAAATTTGACTCTCCAAGAAGTGGGTTCAGAATCTAGACAGGAATTAAAATACTCACTAAATTCATAATCCCACTACTTATAGGTAGTCATTGATGACAGCTTGGTCTCTGCAAGACCACTCTCAGGTTCACTGATTTGCTTGGAGGACTCACACCATTTAGTTGTGCTCATGGCTATGGTGTATTACATTGAAAAGATACAATACAAAAAACAGCAGAGGAAAAAGGCACATAAGGTGAGGTCCAGAACAAGCCAGGGACAAGCTTCCTTTCCCAGTGTAGTCACATAGGACACACTTAATTCTCCTAGCAATTGAATTGTGACAATGTGTGTGAAAGGCTGTCTACCAGAGAGGCGGATTGGACACTCTGTGTATGGTGTGTTTATTTGGGGATGGTCATGTAGGCACCTTCTCCATGTACCAGAAGGAAAGCAGGTGTTCAACATAAACCATAGTTTTGCACCAGTACTTTAGGCACAGTGAGCCACTCCTGTCAAGGAATGGTAGGAACCTTCCCAAAATCCAAGTTCCCAATGCCAAGCCAAGGGAGAACTTTGCAGGTTCTCCTTTTCTAGGTATTAGGCCTGCTACGATAACTCTCTTTTTGCATAGTATGTTTGTATATTTTATAAATATATGTCATCCTTTATATTTTTTGTGGCTTGTATTTTTTATAATTTTATGTGAAAACGTTTTGAAACTTAATATTTATATATATGAAGAGGTCAGCAAACTATGACCTGTGGATCAAATCTGACCATTAGCCTGTTTTTGTATAGCCAATGAACTAAGAATAGTTTTTAAATTTTTTAGGGTTTTTATTTATTTATTTATTTTTTTAAATTTTTTTTTTTTTCAACGTTTATTTATTTTTGGGACAGAGAGAGACAGAGCATGAACGGGGGAGGGGCAGAGAGAGAGGGAGACACAGAATCGGAAACAGGCTCCAGGCTCTGAGCCATCAGCCCAGAGCCTGACGCGGGGCTCGAACTCACGGACCGTGAGATCGTGACCTGGCTGAAGTCGGACGCTTAACCGACTGCGCCACCCAGGCGCCCCTAAATTTTTTAGGGTTTTTAAAGAAAAAACAAGAGTATAACAGAGACTGCATGGTTCCAAAAGCCTACAATATTTGCCCTTTGGTCCTTTGTAGAAAAAGTTTGTTAACCTTTGATCTATAAAATGATTTTTTCAAAATTGAGATACAATTCATGTACCATAAAATTCACCACATAAAGTGTACAGTTCTGTGGTTTGTAGTGTTTACAGATTTGTGTAATCATCTCTTTCTAATTCCATAATACTTTTATCACCCCCAAAAAGAGACCCTTCACCTCTTAACTTTCATCCCCTCAATCTCCCAGACCCTCCAGCTCTAGGCAGATACAGTCTACCTTGCCTGTTCTGGACATTGCATATAAATTGTGTTATGCAGATGTGGCCTTCAGTGTCTGACTTCTTTCACTGAGCAATATGTTTTTGAGGTTCATCCATATTATAACATGAGTCAGTATTTCATTGCTTTTTATTGGTTTATAATATGTCATTGTATGGGTGATAACGCATTTTTTATCCATTGATCAGCTGATAGATATTTGGGTTATTTATATTTTTGGCTACTATATATAGCATGTGGTTTTATTTATTTATGTATGTATTTGTTTATAGTTTACATCTAAGTTAGCATATAGTGCAACAATGATTTCAGGGGTAGATTCCTTAATGCCCCTTACCCATTTAGCCCATCCCCCCTCCAACAACCCTTCCAGTAACCATCTGTTCTCCATATTTAAGAGTCTCTTATGTTTTGTCCCCCTCCCTGTTTTTATATTATTTTTGCTTCCCTTTACTTGCGTTTATCTGTTATGTGTCTTCAAGTCCTCATATGAGTGAGGTCATATGATATTTGTCTTTCTCTGACTAATTTCGCTTAGCATAAATACCCTCTAGTTCCATCCACGTAGTTGCAAATGGCAGTATTTCATTCTTTTTGATTGCCAAGAAATACTCCATTGTATGTGTGTGTGTGTATATATATATATATACACACATACACACACACCACATCTTCTTTATCCATTCATCCATCAGTGGACATTTGGGCTCTTTCCATACTTTGTCTATTGTTGATAGGGCTGCTATAAACATTGAGGGGCATGTGCCCCTTGGAAACAGTATACCTGTATCCCTTGGATAAATACCTAGTAGTGCAATTGCTGGGTCATAGGGTAGTTCTATTTTTAATTTTTTGAGGAACCTCCATACTGTTTTCCAGAGTGGCTGCACCAGTTTGTATTCCCACCAACAATGCAAAAGAGATCCTCTGTCTCCACATCCTCGCCAACATCTGTTGTTGCCTGAATTGTTAATGTAAGCCATTCTGACAGGTGTGAGGTGGTATCTCATTGTGGTTTTGATTTGTATTTCCC